GTTTGTAAGATCTGTTCCATCCACTTGGTTGCGGAGAGTAATGATTGTTCATTCTTACACCATGGTTTCTTTGCCCATTGTATTGTTGGGTATTTGAGTTGTTGCAACTATTTGGTCAAGATACTATCAATAGTGGTGCTATAAGCATTATAGTATACGTCTTTGTTGTTGTTAAGTGCCATCAAGTCAGTTCCAACTCATAGTGACTCTGTATAGAGTTTCTGAAGAATAGCGGGTGAGCTTGAACCGCCAATGTTGAGGTTCAAACCAACCTTGCAGTCCAGCGCGTTACCCCGTAGCACCACACCAGTATATGTCTTTTGTTGTTGATGGTGTTAAGTGCTGTTGAGTCGGTTCTGACCCACAGCAACCCTGTATAGGGTTTCTGAGGAGCGGCTGGAGAGCTTGAACCTCCAACCTTGCAGTTCAAACCAACTTTGCTGTCTAACACATTAGCAAACAGCGCCACACCAGGACTCCAAAAATATGGAACACTTCACGAATTTGTATGTCATCCTTGTGTAGGGACCATGCTAATCTTCTCTGTATCGTTCCAATTTTAGTATATGTGCTGCCAAAGCGAACACATATATATCTTTGTTGTTGTTGTTAAGTGCCATCAAGTCGGCTCCGACCCATAGCGACCCTGTAGACGGTTTCCTAGGCTGTAAATCTTTACAGGAGCAGAAAGCCTCATCTTTTTCCTGTGGTGTGGCTGGTAGTTTCGAACTGCTGACCTAAAGGTTCTCAGCCTGATTCATAACCATTACGCTACCAGAGCTCCTTTAGGACTCCTTTAGACACCTATTATTATGCATTTATCTTGAGTGGAATTGTTGAATCACAGAAGCATGTGGTCACCGTCTTTAGTATCTGCTGAAACTGCCAGGTAGTTTTCCATTTTACACTCCTAACTACAATGTAAGAGCATCCCAGTTGCTCCACATCCTCGCCAACACTTGATATTATCTGTCTTTCATTTTGGCCATGCTGGTGCATGTGTAGTGATATTTCCTAGGGTTTCAATTTGTATTTCCTTCATGACAAATGAGCTAGGGCACCTTTTCATGTATGTAAAGTTTTCAAACACAGAAGCATTTTTTATGGATGCATAAAAACATGTGGGGATGATAGATACCCAGTGAGAATGATAAACACCTGGTTTTGTAGAGGGGAGTTTGCTGGGGTAGGGTTCAAAAGAGAACCTCAACTTGTGATGTTATTGCTAAAGCAGAGGTGAAGGCAGAAGTGTCTGAAATGTTTTTGATCTTAAAATTTTTCAAAGCAAAGATTTCTTAAATCCATCCAGTTTTAATCAAACTGAGCAGAGGAAACCATCACAGCAAATAGCATTGAACATGTTCTAGACACGGAACTCAAGTGCTTTACAGACAGCAC